CAAATAGTAGAAGACATATGAGCTGGGCTGCTTTAATTGATAGGGGAGGGCCACATACCTACCCCACAGCCTCCCACATGTCACACCAGTCCCACTGCCCCTTCCTACTGTGACCCCCAAGGCCTGTGGCCCTGGTTTACAGGGAAGGGGAAGATGGCCCATAGACCTGTCACAGTCATACAGACCTGTCACAGATACAGTTGTTGTCTTCCTTCCTGTCTTTGCTGTGTACCCCCAACTCTATGCAAAATCCCAGGAGCCTTTTTTTTCTTCAAACAACTTTCTTTTTTGTTTTGTTTTGCTTTACTTTTTCTTTTTTTTGAGATAGGGTCTCACTATGCAGTTCAGGTTGGGCTTGAGCTCACTTTGTAGCCAGGCTGGTCTTAAACTCACAATAATCTTCCTACCTTAGCTTCCTAAGTGCTAGGATTATAGGTTTGCGGCACCATACCCAGCTCAAACGACTTCTAGAGATACAATTCACATACCATGAAGTACAAGTAGGTGGTTTGTAACAGAGTCACACATTGTGCTACCATCCTTACTATCTAATTCCAGAACGTTTTCATTACCTCAAAAAGAAATTCTATACGCATCAGCAGTTCCTGCCATTATCCCCCCTCCACCACTCTGGGCAATCTCCACTGCACTTGCCTGCTCCAAGGATTGTGTATGAATGGAATTATACAATATATGGCCTTTTGATACTTGGCTTTAGGGAGAGTTTTTAGGCAATTGACGATGACTGTCTTCTCTGTTCCCTAAAGTACAGAACATCTAGACTGTTTCCCACAGTTTAACTGAGGGTGAGGGTCCTGACCTTGTTGAGGAGTGGGTGGCCACAACTGCAAGCTCCTGATGACCCAGAGCTCCATGGATGCTGGCCCAGGGCACAGGAAGGGCAGGCCGAGGATTTCTCCGAAATTCCCAGGAAACAACCAAATCAGTAGGTGCCATAGAAACTGTACACCCAAAAGATTGTTATTTCTTTTTTCTTTTCTTTTTTTTTTTTTTTTTTTTTTTTTTTTTGCATTACTGGGGATTGAACTCAGGACCTTGCGCTTGCCAGGCAAGCACATATTCTACTGAGCTATTTCCCAAGCCCCCACCCAAAAGATTATGACCATAGCTTTGATGCACACAAAGACTTCTCTTGTGATTCTTCTTTTACAGGAAGTTGAAATCAATGTGTTTGACATTTTAAGTGGCAACACAGCAAAAGAGGGCTGCAGATGGAAGGTTGCATTTTTGGTTCACTTTAAGTTTTGGTTTTCTTTTCTGCGAAATGGCTGTAATCATACCTGCTGTTCAGGTGGTAGGAGGATTACAAATAATAAAAGTGCTCTTTATGTGCCTGAAGCCCAGGAGATTGGATAAATGGCAGCTGCTAGCAATGGTCCCAAGGCAGGGTAGCCACAGCATGGCCCAGAGCACCAGCCTGGCTTGGAGTGAGACTGGCTTTGTCATTCAATGTTGTGTTCTTCCAAATGGTCATGATGAAAGAACCTACCTTATAAGGTCATAGTGGGACCAAGCTGATGCTTACTGAGTGAGGGTCACCGAAGCTCGCCCTTTCCTTGTGTGAGTTCACTCAGTCCTTTCAATACCTAGGTGGCAGGTACCACTGTTTTCCCTATCACACATCTGAGGAAATGGAGGCAAGAACTAAGTAGCTTGCTCAAGATTACTCAGAACATTAATGGAAGTGCTAGCGTTTCAAGTAGTGCCCTCTTTCCTTCTCTGTGGTTTGCTTTTGCAGTTTTAGTTACCTTGAGTCAATCATTATCAAAAAATATTAAATGGAAAATTCCTGAAAGAAGCAACTTGTGAGTTTTAAATTGGGCATTGTTCTGAATAGCGTGAAGAAATCTTAAGCCATTCTGTGTGAGGCATGAATCACCCCTTTGCCCAGTGCCTGTATTAGGTCTCTTTGTAGATGCCTTTCTCTGTGTTGTTTATATTACCATCTGCGGCTCACTTAGTGGCAATTTAGGTCATCAAGTCACCTGTCTTCGTATCACACTGCTTTTGTTCAAGGAATCCTTATTTTAATTAATAATGGCCCTGAAGCACAAGCATAGAGATGCTGATAATTTCATTATGGCATACTGTCATAATTGTTCTGTATTATTATCATTGATTTTTTCCGCCTGTATTTTAGGGAAGGGTCTACAGGGTATTCAAGGTCTTACTACTAGGTTAGACTTGTAGTGATTCTCCTGTTTACAGCCTCCCAACTGCTAGGATTACAGGCACATGTCATCATGCCCAGTCTCAATCGCCATCTCAGGGCGCCCCAGGGGTGGGGCTGGCACGGCAGGCACTGGGGATGGAACCCCCAGCCCCTGCACCTGCTTGCAGGCACTTTAATCCACTGAGCTATTTGGCCGGTCCTTGTCATTGATTTTTTATATAGGGTCTCCCTATGTAGTTCAGGCTGTCCTTGAACTTGCAGTGATCCTCTTGTCACCTCCCAAGTCTTGGTACTTTATTGTTATCATTGTTTATCTCTTACTATGTCTAACCCATAAACCAAATTTAGTTCTGGGCGTGGTAATGCACACTTGCAACCCCAGCACCATGGGAGGATGACACAGGAGGGTCAGAAATTTGAGCACAGGCTGGGAAACAGCAATTTAGTGAGACCCTGACTCAAAAAATAATAAAAAAGGCTTGGGATGTAACTCAGCATGAAGGCCCTGGGTTTAATCCGTAGCACTTCTAAAACAAACAACCCCCCCCCCACATTTATCATAGGTAGTTGCATAGGTAGAAATGCATAGAATCTGTGTGTAGGACTCAGGACGAACCACAGTTTGGGACCCCACTGGGGTCTTGGAAAGCATCCTCTGGATGAGGGGCACTACTGTAACCCCAACCAGTCCATTGCCTCAGCCAAAAGCTTCTCTAGTCTTCTAGACGGTCAAAGTTTTAGTACAATGCCTGACACAAATGAAGTTCCAAGTAAACATTAGCTACTGTGGCCCTGGAATAATAATATTTTTTTAGGGGCTGGTGAGATGGCTCAGTGGTCTAAAGCACCTACTTAGAACAAGCTTAGCAAAGCACAGGGACTGCGGTTCAATCCCCCAGCACCACATGCCAGCCAGCCCCGCCCCCTGGTGGGCTGAGCTGGCCACACACACACACACACACATAAATAAATAAATAAAGAAAGAAAGAATTTAAAATAATAATAATAATAATATTTTTTTAAAACATGCTTTCCCAGATGTATTGGGTTAAAGAATTTAACTATGCTTTTATCTTTGGTAGAGGAAAGAGGCTGAGTCTTTTCTATCTTTGCATCTTAGAGTACTTGGAACACAGTGCCTGGCACAGAATGAAAACTCGAGTCTTATCAGAGAAGGCTGAGTTTTCAAAATAATGCATTTATTGATGGACAACAGGGTGAGCTTCTGAGGAACACTGGCTGAGCTGCAGCTGGACTGGGTCACTTTTGAGCCCCTTTGGCCAAATCTTTGTTCCCCGGGTCACTGCAAGGCCATGTATCCCATAAATATTTTAATTGGTCTGTTTGTTGTTGCATAATCTCTATCCGCTGACTTCACCTTTCTCATTACACCATTGCAGGTACCACACCCAGACCTGCTTCTCTCTCTCTGCATGCACGCCAGGCCCCTTGCACAATCAGTTTTTCCACACACTGGAAGTTTCCCTCTCTGTTTTGTGCAGACCCACTGTCTGCCTGTCAGCCCAACAGCTGAGCAGCTCTGACCTTCCACTTTACTCCAACTTCCTCAACTCCTGTTATCAAAGCGGTTGAGTTGTCCCTTGTACTGAATCAAAGCATCCAGCTCAACACCAGTCTGGCCACAGAGGAGGCGAGAACCCGAATTTTGCCATCGGCTCACTCTGAAGTCACTCTCTGTGGGGTGGCCCTTGGACAGAGGCCAGGTGCTGCTGTCTGCTCAGCAGCCTGGGGTTCTCTGGGATTCCTCCGGTGCTGTCACAAAGCAAGAGTCCAGAGATGGGCTAGTTCACAGGCACACACACACACACACACACACTGTATCAAGCCTGTCACCAAAGGACTTTCCACATAGGAGGTCTGAGCCCTCCATTAACACCCAGTTATGGCTGGACCTGCCAAGCCTCCCCGGATTCCACTAGGAATCCAGTGGGCAAAAGCCTTAATTGGCTCTTTTTCCCATTAACATGAGTACTAGCGTACCGACTGGCCAGCCAGCCCCTGGACGTGCATGCCCAGAGGGTCAGCACACAGGGCACTTGGAGGTTGAGGACTGTGAGCCAGAGCACAGCCTGGGTGAGGCCAAAGGCTTCTTTCTGTCCTCTCTAGTGTGTGAGTCACACTTCCAGTTGTTGGTTCCCTCAAGATTTCCTCCCTAACTTCCTCCGCTTGCTCTTCTTGCTACATACAAACCAACCTCCATTTGCTTTATTTACTCCATATGGATTTTTTAGCTTCTCTCTTACTAATGAAGCTACTCCCTATCAGAAAAGCTGACATCCATTTTGCCCCTATCCATGAACTCTCTGGCCTGAGTCAGCTGTCCAGCCCTCTGTGACCTTGTGAGAACCCTAATTTCAAGATCATTTTACTTAAGTTGCCCTCTTGCTTTAACCCCCAAGGTCTTCAAGCACTGTCATACTGGCCTTGCCCTTCCACACATGAATCTTCACGAAGCCCTTCTCTGTGCTCATTACTCTCTGGCCTCCCATCTCATTTCTCTCACGGCCTTGACCAATTCCCAGCAGTCTCTTCAAAATATTCTCTTAGGTTGCCTGAGCTCAGAAGGGAAGGGTGCCAAACCTGGGGCCATGATTTCCACCTTTGAATCACTGAAGGCAGCCCAGAGTTGGGAGGCTCAAGGTCAGCAACAAGACCCTGTGTAGGAGGAGCTTTCCTCCAAAATGTCCCTTGGTAGGAGCTCTGAGACTAGGATGAGAACAGAGGGCTCTTGTGTGAGCTGCTGGCTACCTTTGGTCCTTCCCTGGGGATTCTTTCTGCATCCTACCTGTGCACATGACGGCGGCAAAGACCCAGCACTGTCCATAGCATACTGGCTGGCAGCCTGTGGCGTGCCACTGCTTTAGAATGGCCACACTGCCGGTCCACTCGGCAGGGTTGGTGCCATCTAGATAATTCTCAGTCCAGTTTCCATTGAGCACCCCATTGTCATCATTGCTGTTGATCTAAAGAGAAGCCATACACAGAAACATGAGAAACATCCTTTCCTTCAACAGGTTGTGATGCATGGGATGCCTTGGGATGTCCAGGAGTTAAAAGGGCTGATAGTCTATGCCCAGCTACCTCAGAGCTCTGTTGAAAAAAACTTGTCCACATTTTGATGTCAGTCTTAACCCAAGTGACTTTGGCAGGGTCTACCTCTCAACTACTCCCTGCCCCCTTGTAGGGGCAGTTGAGATAGGCACAGGTTCACTGGCCTGGCTTCCTCCCTCCCTGGCAAACGGGGACCTCACCATGGCACACACCACTCTGCTGATGTAGACGGGGCTTCCCCGAAGGGCACAGTCGGTGCCTGGGTCGATCTGGAAGTGCAGGCTCTTATCTAGTAGCTCCAGGCAGATGTCTATGATATTCTCTTCAAACTACAAGAGGAGGCACAGAGAGGGAGGTGCTTATAGAGCATATGGGGGACAGAGAAAGAAAGAAACACCACACCCTGTCTAGCTCTCTAATGGATGTGCCTGTAGAATACAAACCCATTTGGAAAGTACCTGTCAAACAGAACACCCAACCTCCCAGGCAAGTGTGGGTTTTCCAAGCCCTGGTGTCACAACCCACCCTGGATGTACCCTGAAAACCAAATCCATCCCTCCACCTCTTATTTTGAGGTGACTGTTGCTACTGTTGGGCTTTGCTCTCCCCCGCCCCATGGAGTCTACCTGGCTGAAAAGTTTGTTTTTCCCTCTTTTCTCATCCATTTTTACATTTAGCACCTGGGATGAGCATCGAAAACCAGCCTGCCTCTTCTTCGGTACTCACCTGTGACCTGCTTATCACTGGCAACCAGGCTGAGGGGACAGTGCGAACCTGCCATGGCTCTCACAGCTGCATGGGGCTCTGGCTTTTGTGGCCAGCTGCACGTGAGGAGTGGAACCTCTAGCCCCACCGGGTAGCCCAGTTCCTCCTAGCCCTTCAGGTCTAGTGTGCCGCCGCTTCCCTAGGCCTGACCCAAACCTGACCACGGCTTCCCACTGGAGATTCCAGAATCTGAGGAAGTTGAGGTTCATCTTCCCTACCCAGGAATATGCTCCATCTCAATGTCTCTTTCCACAGCTCCTGACCCCAGACAGAGCACAGTGCCTCATACATAGTGGGGGTGGCATATATCTTTGTTAAACGAGTGTAAATCAATATACTTATTCCCATGTAAAAACCAACAACATGTAGAATTAAGTGTTTCTGATCCATTTTCCCCAAGAGACAGTCTGGTCAAATCAGTTTTCTACTTTAAAATGCCCAAAGGCTCCCTAGCTTACAGCATCAAACCCCCACTCTTCAGAAGGCGCCAAGTCCCTCCCAGGGCTCCCCTTGCCCCCCATACCTCTCCAAACTCTTGGCCCTACACCCTCTCCCCAGAAGCACGCTTTTTTTTTTTTTTTTTTTTTGAGACCATATGAATTTTAGGATTTTTTTTTTCGCTTTTTTTTTTTTTTTTTTTTTCCTCACAGCACTATTTTCACTCCAGTAAATTCTTTGTAACTCTGCCAAGAGCCAAACTACTTCTGGTCTGGTGCCTTCCCTTGGCTAAACCAGCTCAATGTCTCCCTTCTCAGGAAGCTTCCTGACACCTCCTGCCTGGCCAAGAGCCTTCCTCCTGATTTCCAGTGTTCTGCCCTGTTGCTCAATCCTTACATATCCCACTCTGAAGTCAGTGATCTGCTTATGTGCTTTGGCCCGCACTGCACTATGTGGTCAGGGACAGTGTTTTATTCCTTTCCATATCTCTAGCACTCAGCACTGAGAGCCAGGGATCAGAAAGCAGCAACTTCCCACTTCTGCTTCTTGTGGACAACAGAAAACCCCTGTCCAGGGCTCTCTCTGGGATCCCCAGCTGCCTCTGATGAGGGAGGAGCCTGTGGAGGCGAGGTGCAACCAGTGGAGGCTGCAATTCCTCCTCTCAGCTGTAGCTACCTTGGACCCAGACTGGGCCTGCAGGCCATGTGTGCTGGGGTTCTGCTTGGGCAAGTCCAGGGAAAGAGCCCACATTCAGCTGATATAAGGGTCCATGAGGACCTCCAGGGTGTGTTCCAGCTGGCAGCTTTTCCCAGAGGCCAGGAACTTTTTTTTTTTTTATTTTATTTTATTTTTTTTTTATTTTTAGGGAAGGGTCTACGGGGTGCTCAGGGTCTCATTGCTAGATTGGACCCAACTCATAGTGATCCACCTGTTTACAAGCTTCCAAGAGCTGGGATTACCGGCCTGGCCACCATACCCAGTCTCAATTGCTGTCTCATTGTGCCCTGGGGGCAGGGCCAGCACAACCGGCCTGGGATCAAACCCCTGCCCTCTGAGCCTGCTTGCAGGCCCTTTACTCTACTGAGCTATTTGGCTGGCCCGAGGCCAGGAACTGATTCCCTCCTTTCTGTGTCCTCCCAGGGTAGGGCTCATCCTAGAGAAGACACTTCCCCAGCCTACTTGGAACTTCCTGGAGCTTAAGTACAAGGCTTCTAGAAAGACATTATTGAGCATTGCAGTGAATACAATATCTTTAAATCTGAAAGCACATGGTTTTGGAATATATGTAGAAAGCAGAGTATAGAGGAATATTTGTCTACCAAGCTGGTGACAATGCTTAAAATGTTCTCCATGCTCCAGGTATGGCCAATAAATGAAATAATAACAAATCCTGGTAAGTTTGTGAAGGAAAAAGGAAGCTTTCTACATTGTTGATGGGAATGTGAACTAGTCAAACCACTATGGAATCAGTGTAGAGATTCTTCAAAAAACTAAAACTAGGGGCTGGGGAGCTGGCTCAGTAGAATAAGAGCTTGCCTGGCAAGCTCAAGGGCCTGAGTTCAATCCCCAGTTCTGCAAAAAACAAACAAACAAACAAACAAACAAACAACAACAACAAAAACACCTAAAACTAGAAATTCTATTTGATGTAGGTATTTCCCTTCTACATATTTTTCTAAGAGTTAAAGATATCATATTACAGTGACCCATGCATACCACATTTATAGGAGCATGGGTCATGATAGCTAAATCTTGGAAAGAGCCTACATGTCCATCAACAGTGAATGGAAGGGCCAGGGAGATGGCTCAGTGGAATAAGTGCTTCCCTGGCAAGTGCAAGGGCCTGAGTTCAATCCCCGGTTCCGCCAAAAAAAAAAACAAAAAACAGTGAATGGACAGTGAAAACGTGGTATTTACATGTTGTGGAGCACTACTGTGTTATAAAGGAAGACAAACTTGGGTCATTTATAGGAAAATAGACCCACCTTGAGATCATTATGTTAAGTGAAATAAATCAGACACAAGCTTAAATGTTACCTGCTTTCTCTCATATGAGAAACAAAGTTTCTCAAATAAAGAACAAAATAAAAGATAGTTAATAGGAAGTACAGAGATTGAGCTTTCTCAAAGGAGAAAAGGGATCTCAAGAGATGGAGGAAGGAACTGGCCAGATATCTCAGCAGACTAAAGCACCTGCTTAGGCAAGCACAGAGACTGGGGTTTGATCCCTGGCTCCACATGCCATGCTGGTCCCACCCCCAGGGCATGCTGAGATGGTGACTGCGATTGGACATGGTGATGTACACCTGTAATCCCAGCATTTGTGAGGCTGAAAACAGGAGGATCACTATGAGTCTGATCTGTGTAGTGAGACCCTGTAGATCCTGTACTAAAATAAATGAACGAATGAATGAATAAATGAATAAATAAATAAATAAGTAAATGAGATAGAGGAAGGGAGAAGGGAGGGAAGGGAAAAAGGGTGAAAAAAGGAATTAAAAGTGCTATGTACATGAACCAACTCCACACAAAGAATGTAAACATTATGTATTACAAATATACACTAATACAAAAAAAATGATCTTCAAGAAAGCCAATTGTGTACTGCTTTTACAATGAGATGATAGATTATCAGAATTAACTAGCTAATTAACTGATTAAGAATGAAGAAGCAGAGGCCAGGGAGATGGCTCAGTAGAATAAGCTCTTGCCTGGCAAGTGCAAGGGCCTGAATTCAATCCCCAGTTCTGCAAAAAAAAACAAAAAAAAAAAAAAAAAAAAAAAAAAAAAAGAAAAAAGAAAAAAATGAAGATGCAATAGTCACTGGGCAGGAGATGCTCTGCTGTTCCTTAGCCCTGTTCTGCAAAGATGTCCCAGGGCAAGTTCTCACTGGTGTCAGGTTTGAAGCTTGGCTGTGTGGTGAGGCTTGTGAAGATACGGAGAGCGAGTGGGCACTGAGACTCCATGGAAACACAGCATGATAAGCACAGATGCCAGGCACCATCCCACATTTATAGGACTGTAGGACTGCTCCTTTCTCTCCTCAGGAGCACCTGCTGGGCAACTGTGAGCTGCCTTTGGGCCCTGGTGTTCAAGTCGGCCTTTCTGCCTTAATATGACAGCTCTTCTAACAACCCAGGTGCCATCGCACTCCTCTCCCCTCTCCCCAGCAGCCCAGAGCCCAGATGGGCTGAGACTCACCTGCCCATAGTTCCATGGGCACGGGCGGATCCAGTTCTTGTTCCCCTGGTAGATGAAGCCGTAATCATTCACAATGTACTCCTGCCTCTGGGGTTCACTGTCCATGTAGACGGCATCCCCTCAGGATCAAAGTGGAGAATAAAGCAAAGGAGTCATCTTGCCCTTCCTGTCCCATGCCTGTCCCCATGGTCCAATGGAAACTGAAGCAAGTACCAAGAAGGGTGGGGGGAGGACTTGGGAACTCACACACCCAACACCAACAACGGGCTTAACACACAAATGAGGTGGAATGATGTGATTCACCTTTCATGAAGTTTCTCAGCCTACTTACAGGTTAAGAAAACAGGCTCAAAAGTGATTAAATAACTTGCCCAAATCACACCTAAGTACAGAATTGGAATTTGAACACAGAGCTAATGCAACTCCATGTGCTGTGCCTCCTGCTCTCCTCAACTATCCTGGTTGGAAAAGGACAAACTGGAACAGGAGGTTCGGCAGGGGCCTCACCACATGAGTTGTAGGAATTCAAGAGAAGAGCCTTGCTGAGGCTGTGTGTGGTGTTAGACTCTAGCTAAATGCCCATCTGAGTGCCATTTTTAATACTGGAAAGGGGAACAATCGAGATGCCTTGCTCTTGGGGACTGGCCAAACAGCTTCCATGAATCTTACCATAGAATTTATACAGCATTAACATAAGGTGACGAATGTGGACATGAAACTCAATATGTGAATATTTTCAGCAGGTTTGAAAATAACATCTACAGCCATACAGCATGAATTGACTTATGTTTAAAAATGTGTATGCAGGGGCTG